CGATTTCCTGCTGTAGGAAACAACGGTTTGATTATGTTGGTGTACTTGTATCTCTGTGTGCCTTTTAGATGCCCAGCCGAATTCTTGTGAGCGCTCGATAAATCCAAAATCTTTTTGTATACACTCAAATCCTCAGCATTATAATTTTCAGGCATGTCGAGAAATAACAGTTCATATATACCGGGTGTTCCTTTCCAGTGTTACCCAGCCAATTTTATATATCCGCTACGCTTGTCAAAATCGATTTTCTTTTGGCCTAGGAACCATTTTGAAGATACCCCATCATATATGGGAGCATATACTTTGTCGATTTCCTTGTCATTTCCCCAATGTTTTCCAATGTACGGTTGAGACATTATCGGATATTGATCGATATATTCTTCTAAAACTTGTTCATTCATGCCTGACGCAACGTTGTCATCTTGTTCATCTTCTGCATACCCACTAAAGACATTTTCATAATCATCATCCTTATCTGTACCTGCAACACGTACGAGAGATTGGAATGTAGTCGTTTCAGGCTCTTCCACTGTCTCTTGTTTAACTTCGGTTTTTGCCTCAGTTTTCAGTGGGGTACTAGCTGACTGTGTTGTTTTATTTGCTATTTTCCTCAATGGGATAGACAGAGGTTTGAAAAATCTTTGCCTTGACTCATCTTCTTTGGATTTACCCAATTTCAGAGCCAAATATTTTTTTCGAAAGATACGTGCAATTTCGTTGACTTTATTCTTTCGAATAACCTCAACTTCTTTGCTCAACGGTTTCATGATAACACACTGTGTATACTTATATATTTGTCGAATCCTTGACGATAACGTCCAACATTCTTATCGAAATCTCTCATTATTACAACGGTTCCATATCGTTGTTGCCAACATTCGGTCATTCTCTTAAATTCATCGAAAGACATGGGAGAGACGTGTTCATCGAATACATGTTTCAAATTCATTTCATCCTGTTTGAAAAGTACAATCATATTGCAATTGTCTCGTATCAATTGTTTGGGGATTTTTGAATATGTCTGACAAAGATAGGCGTCGTCAATGTTCTTATGCCTACATACAGAATAATATTCGCGAATTTTCTGTTGGCCATCGCATGCGACATCATCAAAAATGAATATGGAATTTGTTTTGGCTTCGTGAGGGCTTATGATATCCTCATTTCTCCTGAACTGATAATATCCCAACCCCCTGACTTTATTGAAAATTTCTTGAACCACTTGATATTTAGGTTGATATTTTCAAATTTGGCGCCCTTTGGGTGGAATAGCAATGTTGAGATAGCGTTTTTCTTTCCACAACCACTCGGTCCACAAATTATTGCACGAAACGAATTGGGTGCTTCCCAACTACACACCATTGTTGGCTTCATTCAAAAAGTCTAAATTTTCAATAGGTAATGTCTTGTCTTGTTGAACGGCTTTCATGATGTGATGTTGGACAATGACTGCGCTACGGTTATGAATAAAAACATCACAGTCATCACCCAATCATTCTCAATGTTTTAAAAAGTTACTACACTGAATTCCAATCCTAATGGCTATTTCCTTAGGATGGAAATTTTGCTAGACGGTGAAGCCTTCATTATCTACAACAGCTATTCTCATGTTGACTCTTCGATTAATACTGAAGCAAAATCACATGTTCAGTTCCATTTTTTAATAATTTGAGGTAATCCCCCAATTTCAAGTTTTAAATCAACACTGGAACTTTTGATGCTCTCATCCCTTCTGGAACAATCGATGACAAAGAGAGCTTTGTCCTGTAAAGACGGTGGAAGTGAGAAGAGGATTATGTTGATTAGTCATTTTGTAGCTGAGACCAAATTGTGAGTAGTTGAAATAAACTTGCCGAATATTCCCCTCTGCAAAATTCAAATGCATATTTTCCTTGGGGTAATTCTCACCGTTTAGAGTGAGTGTTATATTGGTGATATTCAAATGATTGAATATTCATTGTTGGATTATTGTTGACTTTTAAGTCACGTTTTTTTCGGAAACATACAATCACATAGCTTTCGAGGAACGAGGAAGACTTGATGGCCCCTATTTAATTTTTTGCACCTTGCAGGCAGCATATGAAGTTCCCATTTTCTGAACGATATGAGAATAGGAGTGTCTGCTTGGATAGCTTTCGGAAGTTGCAATTTAATTTGATCATGCGGAAAGATTCGTTCAACTTTCAGTTCGATATTTTCAATTTCCAATTTAACTTTCGTTTTCAGCGTTAGTGCAGCAGGAGCCTCTCCTATTTTGAAACAGTTGCTATCATCTTCAGCTCGTACTAAGCGAATGGTACGTTTACCATATAAAACACTCTGATTTTCAGTGTGTTTCAGTTGCTATCATCTTCAGCTCGTACTAATCGAATGGTATGTTTACTATATGAGACACACTGATTTTCAAAAAATGCTTGATGGGTATGAGCATGTTGAATGTTAGATGAGTTGTGTTGATAACGCCGGTATTGTTGGGAAAAGTGCAACCGGAGGTGGCCAAGTGTTTGATATCTTCGTCGGTGCAGATGAGAAAGCCTCTAACAGTACTTACAATTCCAAGTTCACGAACTGCTTCCAATTCCTTACCACTCTGCTCATAACTAACAGATTGAAACATAAAAGCGACAGCATTGTTTGAGAATGACACCTTACCGCCCCCTTTATTCTTCTCATCTTTTCCACTAATAAACAGCAGACATCGTACACAGCTTCGTAGGCATCAGATTGATTGATGTTGATTTCAATAACATCGTTGTTGCGAAAAGACTTAAATAAGGATAGTAGGTACGCCACTCTACCTTTATGTATGTTGAACACTTGATTGATGATAACCAATAGATTCCAGAAAATTTTTTTTTTCCGTTGTCAATAGTTGTCGACTAGTGAAGGTCTTGGTAAAGACTGACTTGGGGTATGGAGGTGTATTATTTTTATAGATAGTCAGCACCATACTTCCGCTTCAATTCCAAACGAATTATTATATCTTCGTTTCGGAAATCAATGAGCCTAGAATGTTGGTCGAGCACTCGCAGCGTGATATTGTTTATTTCGTTTCTATGTGCAATAGGTATGTAAATGGAATGATCAGGTGTTTCGTCAATTGCATACCCCAGATCAAAATCAACAGCAAATTCGTATATCGTATGAGTCGGTGTGTCGTTGTAGCCGAGTGGTTGTGGAAAGACAAACGATATTTGAAAATATCTACGTATATACGTAGTGGTTCAAGAAATTTTCAGTAGAGTCAAGGGGTTGGGATATTATCCGTTCAGGGAAAATGAGGATATCATAAGCCCTCACGAAGCCAAATCAAATTCCATATTCATTTTCGATGATGTCGCATGTGATGGTCAACAGAAAATTCGCGAATATTATTCTGTATGTAGGCATAAGATCATTGATGCCGCCTATCTTTGTAAGACATATTCAAAAATCCCCAAACAATTGATAAGAGACAATTGCAACATGATTGTACTTTACAAACAGGATGAAATGAATTTGAAACATGTATTCGATGAACACGTCTTTCTCGACATGTCTTTCGATGAATTCAAGAGAATGTGTGCCGAATGTCGGCAACATCGATATGGAACCGTTGTAATAATGAAAGATTTCGATAATATCAAACCGTTGTTTCCTACAACAGGAAATCGTCGTGAAACTGGTACTGGGTTTTTTCAACCTAAACACCTCTTACTACTAAGACTGCGATGACATCATATCTACCCAAAACGTCACTTCTTGCAATGACATTCGATACGCGAACGGCTCAAATTATTGCTAGCCTCTCGAGATGCAGGAAATACTTGCCATTTTAAATAAACTCAAAGAGGCAAAAATAATTCTATAAGATACACTACTTTTCCTATACAATATCATTTTCAAAATGGTTATCGATAAGTTTGGACGTAGCGACAGCAACAGAAAGCGAAAATTGCCAACGCCCTCTGGAGGATGTTGTTGCATTATACCTCATTCATTGTGGTGATGTGAAATTGTGTACTGTGAAGAGCCCCACCACTGATTATGATGTTGCTAATAAAAAGTATGTGGATGGAACCGATAAAGAACTTGCTTCATTTATATATCAGCTAGCTAAGCAACACGAAAAAGAAATAACCCAAGTAGATGGGAAAACTAACCAAATTTCAAGGTGACATCTCCCAACAAATCACCGAAATAAATTCGAAGGTACAATCTACTATCAAGGAAATCAAAAAGATACAAAATGTAGTAAACATAACTATACTAAAAAAGGGGGGTTCACACATCTTCACCATCAGTCGTCATGACTTCCAAAGACAAGATTCAACTTGTCAACGAACTTCAAGAATTGAAGAAAGCCATTCAATTTTTCGAAGAAAAAAAGCTTGTTTTGAATCGGTTGGATAATTTGAATATTCAAGACAGAGTGTTCGATCGAAAAGTGCCTCAAACGAGGTATCCGCTGCGAAGAATTCAACCTCACCGCGTAGAATATGTCGCCGCCAATGCTGAGAATAAATTTTGTACTTTTGAGTGCAATAATAAATAATATTTTGTATGTGAACGTACCAAAGGGCGTTAAATATATGGCAATTTGTGTGGAGCCCAATAATTTCGATCATGGATGCAATAGAACACAATGGAAATTGATGAGTTCAACATTTGTCAATGACGACCAATTGGCAGTTTTTGCAAGCAAAGTCCCGAAAAATACCTCCTTCAAATACAAACTGAGGCTGATATTCGACGATCTTCGAGAAATTGATACAAAAACTGTCGAAATCATTCCAGAACACGCAAGGCTAGCCAAAAAGAAGTCACAAATGGAATTTGACCTTTACAGAATTCTCATTATAGTATCTACGATATTAGCATGTATTTTGATTAGAGTTTTCCAAGAAATAATTATGAAATTGAATGAAATGTATATAATTTGGTTCAAATAATAAATATTTGAATATTCACAAATATTTGTTTCATTTCGAGTCAAGGATGAAATATAATATGGGGAGTATGAGGCGGATGTTTGCTACGGTTAGTGGGCCATCTGTTTGAAAACTGTTACTTCATCAGTTGTAACTGTGACTCTGTTGTGTTTGTTTGTGTGTGCATTATCTTCAATAAACAGATGTAAGTACAAAATTTGTCTTGAAAACAATGTATAATCATGTATTTTATTTGCGAAACTCAGTGAAATGATTTTAATTGAAGAGTCTTCAAAACTTTTGGTGAAAATTGCGTGTGTGTAATCGAAAAATTTCATTTTTCATTTCAAAACCGAAAGATTCCGTTTTTCAAGCTGTTTGTACGTACTTCTGATTATTTCAGAAAGTCTTCAAAACTTTTGGTCAAAATTGCTTGTGTGTAATCGAAAAATTTCATTTTTAATTTCGAAACCGAAAGATTTTGTTTTCCAAGGTACGTACGTACCTATAATTATTTCAAAAAGTATTCAAAACTTTTGGTGAAAATTGCGTGTGTTTTTGCAAACGAAAAATTTCATATTTCCTCAATTCGAAATATCTCGTTTTCCGTAAAATGTTTTGAAAATTTTTGCTCAAAAGTGTGTGTGTAATCAAAAAAATTCCATTTTTCATTGCAAATACAAAATATTTAGTTTTCCGTGAATTACGTTGTCACTGACCCCGGATTCTGCTGACACTCAGCTACAATTCCTAGGAAAACTTCTTATCAGCATAGCCGGCCAGAGAGCATCGCCTCGGGAAACGACCTTTCGCATTCAGTCTGATTTTATACATGTACTGTTAAACATCGTTTTTAATAATTTTTATGTATTGCATAAAAAATCATTTTTTAAGACTTTTCGGTTTTTGGAAAACATTAGTCGTGAAATGTCTTCAAAATTTTTGTTCAAAATTGTGTGTACTACAGTGTACGAAAAATTTCACTTTTCATTTCAAAACGGAAAGATTTCGTTTTCCGAGGTGTTTGTACTTGTGATTATTTCAAAAAGTATTCAAAAAAATTTTTTCAGATTATGTGTTTTGAAGTTTGAAATACAAAATACCTCGTTTTCCGAAAAATGTTTTGAAATTTTTACTCAAAATTGCATGTGTTTGTGCAAATAAAAAATTTCATTTTCTTTCAATTCTAAATGCAAAATATCTCGTTTTCCGTAAAAAGCTATCAACATTTTTGTACAAAAGTGTGTACTACAATGTTGATTCAATCGAAAAATTTCATTTTTCATCACAAAACCGAAATATTTCGTTTTCCAAGGTGTTTGTACGTACTTGTGATTATTTCAAAAATTATTCAAAACTTTGGGTGAAAATTGTGTATGCTTTTGCAAAACGAAAAATTTCATCTTTTCTCAATTCGAAATATCTCGTTTTCCGTAAAATGTTTCGAAAATTTTTGCTCAAAATTGTGTGTGTAATCAAAAAAAAATCCATTTTTCATTGCAAAACCAAAATATTTCGTTTTCCGTGTTTCAAAATTTTTGTTCAAAATTGTGTGTACTACAGTGTTGGTGTAATCGAATAATTTCATTTTTCATTTCAAAACGGAAAGATTTCGTTTTCCAAGGTGTTTGTACTTACTTGTGATTATTTCAAAAATTATTCAAAAAAATTTTTTTAGATTATGTGTTTTGAAGTTTGAAATACAAAATACCTCGTTTTCCGAAAAATGTTTTAAAATTTTTACTCAAAATTGCATGTGTTTGTGCAAATAAAAAATTTCATTTTCTTTCAATTCTAAAAATATGAAATATCTCGTTTTCCGTAAGAAGCTTTCAAAATTTTTGCTCAAAATTGCGTGTATCTGTGTAAACAGAAAATTTCGTTTTTCATTTCAAACCCGAAATATTTCGTTTTCTGCAAAAAGTTTTTGAAATTTTTGCTGAAAATTCTGTGCGTGCAATCAAAAAATTTCAATTCGTTCAATTTTTTGTTGTAGATGGATCTAAAGAAAATTAACGGAATTTCTCTTGTAAACACAGAGAATAAGAAACCTGTGGAGAAATTACAAAATCTTTCGCTAGGAGAGCCGCAGAAAATTTTCTCAGCCCGAATCATGCAGACGAAATTTGGAAGGACAGTACTGCTAGAGTTGGAGTAGCATATAACGTTTCTATCGCAGAGAGTTACAAAGACCTACGAGGGATTCATAAATCATTTCGAACAAGAAAAGTACGCCATCTTGTTCAGAGGACTGATCAATACGGGGAAAGCCAATCCTGCAACATCTTTCGAAATTGTAGAAAATTGAGGTTAATTTTGTTGTTTTTCATTTGTTTTTCTTTGAAAGTGGTAAGATGTGTGATTTGAAATTAATTTTTCTTCTTCGTTTTCCAGATAGTTATATTACCCTCCACCCCTCAGTGCAACAGAAACATTTTTCGTCAAGCTTTCCTTTGAGAATCATCTCCGTTCATCGCTTCACCACATTTGACCAAGGTTCGAGTTTCCTACAGTCCTTCTACAGAGTAGTACTTCAGGCTTCCTTCTGCAGCGTTCAGCAAGCATTCATTTGTGTATTCGTCGCAGGGAAAAAACATTTTTTTGTAAGTTGAAAATGGTGTTTTCAAAAACTTTATCGCAAATTGATAAATTGCTTGAAGCAATTAAACAAAATTATTCAAGTTCCCTTGCACGAAGGTCGTTGAATTTGATTGGTAGGCATATTAGAAAATGTGAGTTGGCAATGAAAAAAATTAAATTTTCAGTTGGAGAAAAAAAGAAAATTATTAGCAAAATTGGGGAATTGAAACGCATTAGATGTATAATAAATGTTATGAAAAACGATAAGTATATCGGATCAGGTTTGAAACGAAGCAGTAGAGTTAAATGGGAAACTGTAAATGCAATTTTCCGAGGTAGCACAAAGAAGTGCGAAAATTTTTGAGTGACGCATATTTCCTTTTCAAATCTAGAATTTCCAAAATTTTGAAGGAGATGCAATGCCTCAAAGTGAACATGACATTCTTGGGGGATTTCATCAAAACATCGAATGACGGGGAAATTATTGATAGAAAATATTTCAATATTCGTAATGAAATCATTGATTTGGGGACAGATTTGTCTGCTTGGCACAATGAATATGTTGTGGATGTTATTTTGAATAAAATCGACGAATTTCAGGAAAGAGACTCTGATTGGGCATTGAGTAAAATTCTTTTGCTTAAGGTAGCAATCAATAAATATGAAATGGGTAACGGTGCATCATTCATACGATTGCCCAAAGAAATTGCAAACAAGCATGCATGTGTGAATCTTGATAATCAAGATGATGCGTGTTTTATTTAATAGCCATCGAGGTGACGATTGCATACAATGGTTTACCGATGAAATGGCTAGCATTGCAAAATTCGTTGAGTCAAAAATTAGGAATATCGTACCGATGATATGCGTGCAAGAAGCTCTTTATCGTACCCATTACATTCCACAATTTGAGTGGATATGATAGTCATTTCATTATAAGAGATGTAGCAAAAAAAGGAAGTATGAGTATACTTCCCATCAACAGAGCAAAATATATTTCTTTCACCCAATACGATAATGAAACTAACATTAAATTCAGAATTTGCAGAATTGGACGATGAGAAGTTTGAGCTTCTCACTAAGAAAGGCGTATTTCCATACGATTATGTGGACGGTGTTGAAAAACTTCTCGACACTGAGTTACCATCCAAAAAACATTTTTATAATAAATTAAACGATTTTGACATTGATGATGCAAAGTATGCTCATGCTTAACGCGTTTGGCATCTATTCGATATGAAAACTTTGGGGGAATACAGCGATTTATACATGCGAACTGATATATTGCTGTTGGCAGACGTTTTTGAAAACTTTCGCGAAATTGACTTGAAAACATATGGGCTGGACCCTGCATGGTATTATACTATGCCAGGGTACACGTGGGATTGTATGTTGAAATATACAGGTTGTAAATTGCAAATTTTAAAAGACGTCGATATGGTTATGTTTGTGGAAAAGGGTATAAGGGGTGGAATTTCGGTTTGTTGTAATAGATATTCGGAAGCCAACAACAAGTATATGCCAACATATGATCCAACGAAACCATCCAAATACATAATGTATTTCGATGTAAATAACTTGTATGGGTGGGCAATGTCACAATTTTTGCCATATGGAGGCTTCGAATGGGTCGATACGAATATTGATGTATCTCAAATTCCCGATGACAATCCAGAAGGATATATTTTACAAGTCGACTTGGAGTACCCTGAGGGACTTCACGATTTACACAAAGATTTTCCATTTTGCCCCGAGCACCGCGCTCCACCAAATTCCAAAATGACAAAATTGATGCCAACTCTCTATAATAAAACAGAGTATACGTTACACTATAGAAATTTGAAACAGGCCCTCGAGCATGGATTGAAATTAACTAAAATTCATAAAGTTTTGAAATTTAAACAATCTGCATGGCTGCGTCCCTATATTGAGTTGAATACTCGATTGAGGACTGCAACCAATACGTCTTTCGAAAAAAATCAATTCAAATTAGACAACAACGCGATCTTTGGGAAAACCATGGAAAACATCCAGTTGCACCGAATAGTGAAATTAGTGTACTCTTACGAGGACAGATTTGGCGCCAAAAATCTCATTTCCAGCCCTCGATTTCATAATCGTACAATTTTCGATTCAAACTTGATGGCTATCGAATTGAAAAAGGCCGAACTTATATTCAATAAACCGATGTATGTGGGGGCATGGCAATTTTGGATTTATCAAAAAACATGTATGTTTTAATTTCATTACGAATTCATGTTACCTATTATGAGCATGGAAAAATGCAAATTACTGTATACAGATACAGACAGTTTCATTTATGAGCTATCGTGTGACGATGGGTTTAAAGATATTATCAAAAAATACATTTCAAAATTTGACACTTCTGATTATTCGAGAGATAACGTGTACAACATCCCCCTTGCAAATAAAAAAGTACCTGGACTCATGAAAGATGAAGCAAACGGCAAAATCATCACGCATTTCGCAGGACTGCNTGGAACGAACGGAGAATTGTTGCTTCAATATGATGCATGGACTAAAGTCTCTGGATGGACTTAGACCGCATCGAATTTCATAAGATGACATGGGGAATGTCATCAATAGCAATTGGTGTTCGTTTCGAGCAGCTATTTCGTACTGCCCCAACGCTCTATCGATTTCACTTAGAGTTTCATTGTAATCTTCACAATCACTGTCACACATTACTTCAACTTCACTACCATAACCACTGTCGAGAGACATTTTGTTCAAACTGAATATCCATCGGTGTTTGCATGCACTCTTATAGCTTCAGATCACATGATCAATTTCGAATATTTTGAGTTTGCGTTGAACACTCAGATATTTCTTCACAAAAGGCCCCCCATCCAATACAATGTGAGTGTGCTTGTTTTCCATAAGATTCTATACAAAATCAACGTTTTCGATCCAACTGTTATGTTTGTTATCCAAGCCCAACCATTTGACGTAAAGTTTTTTACCTTTCCTCTTTAGAACTTTTTCAACGAGATATATATCAGGATTTACAGTTTTTTGTAATTCTTCCCCATAGAAAGCACCCCTAATAGGTACACCCTGCATAAAATCTAGCATAAAGGTGGCGGGATTTGTAACCAAACTGGTGAGTTCTTTCAATCCCTTTGATGAATCATTGGCGATACGTTCGATATCTATTTCATATTGACGATTGAATTTTTCATGCAACCTTTGGAATTGTTCCGTAGCATGTTGAGTCGTTTGCAAAATGTCGGCGTTAACTGTTTCAATTTTTTTATCGAATTCAATATTCGACTTGTTAACTTCATTCTTGATGAGTGTGTTGATGTCATTTTCCAAATGTTGCATATCACTGCGCATTATTTTCGTGAGCTCAATCATTTTCCAATCATAGTTGGTCATATTTCTTTTTATGGAAATAATGAGGTTTTTCTCAACTTCATCCACGTACTCGTTGTTGACTGCATCTGATGCGTTCGTAGGTCTTTTCACATTACACAATTTCAAATTATCGAAATCAATGTCACCGTCAGGTGTATGTAGCAAGCC